TTTGTAAGAGGTTTTCAGTAATGCGTATGAATGAATTTCACTAAGGTTGATCAATGTTTTTCGTTTCACTAGTGTTTGTAAGAGGTTTTTCAGTAATGCATATGAATGAATTTCACTAAGGTTTATCAATGTTTTTCGTTTCACTAGTGTTTGTAAGAGGCTTTTCAATAATTATGGCCTATACGGCCCCTCATATCCACCTACTACAATAATCTAGAACACGCATTGGGGAACATCAGAAGCACTGCTATCTTAATCCTCATATTCTCAATCTCACAGACAAAAATAGACTCGACTTTGATCTGCTTGGAAGTGAGATATTTCAAAATGAATAGATTATAATGGCAATTAAAAGACTCACACATTAGCAATGTTATACTACCTAAACTATAATAAACTATTAGCAATATATTTTACTGGAGGAATATAACAAACCATAAATAGAAAGTTTAAAAAAACTGCATTTTTTTAGATAGAAAACATCTGTAACATTATAAATGTCTTTACTGTCATTTATACATCCTTGCTAAAAAAAAAAAAATCTTACTGACCATTTACACGGTCGTGTATGTTTTTCCCTTAGATTGAAGTGGTTACAGCATCTTACAGCAGTGATTTAAAATATATTTCTTTTTTGCATTACAGTAATAAAATGAGACTTTCACATTTTGTTAATTTTTCCCTTAGATTGAAGTGGTTACAGCATCTTACAGCAGTGATTTAAAATATATTTATTTTTTGCATTACAGTAATAAAATGAGACTTTCACATTTTGTTAATGATAATTAGGGAAAATATGTGACAATGCAAAACTGTCTTAATGCAAAAATGGTTATTGGTAAAATATAACACGGTTTCTGCAGGTTTTATGAATTAAAGACTTTTTAAAGACCTTTTTAAGACCAAGTAAAGACAATTTAAGTAACACATTGTGTTGTAGTAGTAACACTTCAGTTTGAAAATATACCTTCCAATCGATCTCCTTTAGTTTTTAATTTATTTCATAAAAACAGCTTTAGGAATAGAATTGCTCTGATCCAAACCACTAGAATATGGAAACACTTTTTACTGTACTTTCTGATCACACTGCAAAAAAAGTGATGTTCTTCCTCTGCATTTTCCTTCTTCCTCTTGTTTTCCAGCACAAATGTCTAAAGATCCTTAAATCAAGACACATTTACTTGAGAAGCAAAATGACAAAAAAATTATAAGTCTTGTTTTATGAGAAATTGATCAAAATGAATAGTGATTAAGAGAAGAACAAATATCCGCCAATAAGCTCATGAAACCTCAACATAATTGAAAAACTCAACTAAGGGAGATCAACTTTTCATTCCTAATTAGCATTAGGGCTGAAACGACTAGTCGACATTATCGACAACGTCAACAATAAAAAAAGGTCAACACATATTTTTGTTGTCGAATAGTCGCTTTGGAGCACTTTGGAGTGTAAAAATAGCCGAACCAGATGCTGCTGAGAGTGGCATTTAGATTAATATGTAAATATGTACTGTGTTTTTCTTCTTCTTAATAACGAAGTAAACGCACAACAAAAATAAAAGAGGTGAGAAAACAGCAGTTAAAAAGCTTCCGATCATAGCGATGTGGATTTGTTTGAACCAGCTCTGCAATTCGGATCTCCAGTCACGTCACGTTTATTTATATAGCGCAGATTGATTAAAAGCAACCAGTTTTACAGTATTTAATGAAAAAAAAAAAAAAACAGTGTCAGTGACGCTTTTAGTAAAAAATTACAACTTGATTTTCTGCTATAAAGCAGCCCTCCAGTGTAGCTAAGGATAAAATCTTTTTATTAGTGAATGCAAATATAAAAATAAAAAGCCCAAATCATATTACTACATTAAAGTGAGTTTGGTTTGCATAGATTAAAGCTTGATCTAGCAGGACTGTTTACATCATCCGCTGGAATGCCACTCTCTCGTGTACGTGCGTACGACAGTTAGTGGACGCTAGAGATCACTGTTTATAAAGTTTTAAATATGGATATTTTTCTTACACAAACGCATCAATTCACTTCAGAAGGCATTTATTAACCCCCCAGAGCTGTGTGGAGTACTTTTTATGATGGATGGATGCACTTTATTGGACTTCAAAATCTCAACAGCCATTCACTGCCATTATAAAACTTGGAAGAGCCAGGAACTTTTTTAATATAACTCCGATTGTATTCGTCTGAAAGAAGAAAGTCATATACACCTAGGATGGCTTGAGGGTGAGTAAATCATGGGGTAATTTTCATTTTTGGGTGAACTATCCCTTTAAGGATGTTTAGATATTTGTATTGGAAAACAAGACAAAAATACTGAGGAAGATATGCAACATTTCATGCCATGACTTTATGAATTTAAGACTTTCTGCTCTAATTTAAGACCTTTTAAGCTTCAATTTGTGGAAGGGCGAATTAAGACCCTTTTAAGACCCGCAGAAACCCTGATATGTTTTTTTTAACCTGTTGATTTGGGGGTGAAATATGTTCCCAGTTTTGTTGTGGATAGGTTTTGTGGGGTACACTGTACCGGTATATATTCTACACAGGCTAATAAGGAGAAGGCTAAAACATCACTTCATTGGTCCCCGTCTTGCATCCCTACACACCATGTGAGAAGAAATTAGGCATCTCTTTGACCTTACATGTCAAATTCTGTAGAGCGCACAACTCTATGAGAGGCTCCTCTCTTTCAGTGCAACACAATGATATTCACTCCTGCTGTTATATAAACAGTTGGATCCATACTGGAATGGACCAGTTCTCACAATTCCTTTAATTCAATGGCAATTCCATGCTTTCTTGTCCTTATTTCCTGTTGGGATGGATGGGTGCTGATCTGGATGACTACCACAGCTTGTTTCCTAAAGGCACTGTAATGCCACAGAGAATAACTGGCTGTTTAATGACAGAGAACCAAGCCATGCTCACTACAAGAACAAAAGGATGTTTTAAGAAGAGATGTGAGAATGTGAGAAAGATATCTGTCTGTCTGAGTGTCTACATGTGTCATGGCTAATGTTTTCTCCTCTGTCAGAACCTTAGGCCTCACCTTTCTCTTCTCATTCTCAGTGTTAATACTACACCATCCCACAAACACACAGAGAGCTATGTAAACAAACTGGCTATCTTCAATAGACTCGTGTTCTGTGAGTCACGAGCAAAACTGCTGTTGCTTTTACCTGTTCATAGTTCAGCCGCTGAGCCTCCGAGATCTCTTTTGGCTTTGCTTCAAGGATATAGTCTCCTGTTGTGAAGGAGTAAAAGAAAGAAAAAAAGGAGGGTTAGGGAAAACATTTGAGACAGTGCACTTATGAAAAACATATGCTTACAGGAGACATCAGTCTCCTCTTCACCCCGTTGTAATTAACAAACTGTCTACATATGCCAGTAAACCAAAAGCAGTAGATATTTACAACACCGATCTTTCTGTATTTGCAGCTTTAGCGGGAATGTCAGTCAATGCAGTGACTGAAGCCTACCTGTTTTAGTAGAAGTAGAATAGTCTCCTGTTGTGAAGGAGCAAAAGAAAGAAAAAAAGGAGGGTTAGGGAAAACATTTGAGACAGTGCACTTATGAAAAACACATGCTTACAGGAGACATCAGTCTCCTCTTCACCCCGTTGTAATTAACAAACTGTCTACATATGCCAGTAAACCAAAAGCAGTAGATATTTACAACACCGATCTTTCTGTATTTGCAGCTTTAGCGGGAATGTCAGTCAATGCAGTGACTGAAGCCTACCTGTTTTAGTAGAAGTAGAAGTTTTTATGTTGTTGAGCTACAGTCTTCATCTTTCTTTCCAAATACATGACACAATGTGTAATTAAATATTCAAACAGAGGTCAATTAAAGACTGATTAACATTTATACATGCCAGACGAAGCCGAGCTACAATCGCATTATGCAGAATTGTCAGTCTGACTTCACACAAAAAAAAAACTATGATTTCAATAATACTAGAGCTGTTACATAACATTTTAATTAGATCTGCTGTCCATTGTCAATTGTGTAGCTATGTATGTATGTTTCAGACAGATTGATGCACGTCACGTGTTCTTTTATTTTAGTAGTATTAAATAGTAATTTTTTTTATTTAGTTATAATAATAAAAAGTTATCATTATTTTGTAGCCATATTGATATATTGTCACAAAATTTCAGCCAAATTGTGCAGACCTACGAACACGCACAGCAAACATGAATTGCTTTTTTAAATCATATTTCTTCCTTGCATTTGTACATAACATACCTGGGGTGTATTCCAGAAAGCGGGTTTTGTTGGAAACTCAGTTTGTTAACCCCAGAAAAGGGAAACTCAGGGTTTTCGGTTCCAGTAAAAGACAAAACTAAACCTCTCGGTAAGTTACCATAGTAACTTACTCTGTTAACCTAACCTGGTCTGGAGCAGGGTTTCTTCGGTAAACCAAGAGTTTCTTTAGGTCTCCTCCCCCTTTTTAAAGTGTAAGCAATGTTTAAATACCTCATTCATTCACGCTGCAAAAATTGCTTTTATTGCTGAGATTTTTGCCTTATTTCAAGTAGGCTACAAATATCTAAAAAATCTTAAATCATAATGCATTTTCTATATAAGAAAAAATATATACAATATTTAGTCTTGTTTCCTGGGGTAAACAAGT